TTTTCCTGAGTTTTATTACTGATTTTACTTGTTATTTAATTTTTTATTTTAAATTTTTCTTAATTTATAAATTTTTTTTGAGTTAAAAAATATTTCATCGTATTTTTTTTGTTTAAGTTTCTAGTCTATTAGTTCTTTTTATTAATTAATTTTGTGTTTTCAATTTCTATTTTTTATTATTGGTTTTTTATTCATTGAGTTTCTGAGTAGTATTCTTACTTTCACTTGTTATTGACTTTTTTGTTTTAAAATTTTTAATTTTCATTTACTATAGTTTTAATTCTATTTTTTTATTTAATTTACCTCTATTTTTGTTTGTTTAAGTTTTTTCCTAATTGAAGTTTTCAATTCTTTGCCTTTCCTTTTATTACATATTTTTCAATATATGTATATACTTAGCATAATTGTTGTTGTGCTTTAAGTCAAATCTGGGCTGTTGTTTCCTTAAAACAATTTTCTGAATTATTTTTATTTGTTTTACCAGAAAAATATTATATTTTAAGCTTTAAATTTTTATTTACCATATTTCTATTCATTATTTTTTTTCCTGAAATGCAACTTAATAAATAATTTTTTAAATATTTTTTATACTATTTTCGCTGTTTTTGTAATGGTTTTTCAATTTACTTTATTATATTTATATTTTTTTTAACACTGTCGCTATAATTTTTTTTATTTTACTTTTTAGCTTTATTTGTTTTTTTATGCTCTTGACTCTTAGCATACAGTTTGGCGCATGTACTCTATCCCGTGTTATTTCTTTGCTGTCGTTTTTGCTGTTTTAAAATACCTTTGTTTGTGGCCACGTCTGCACTGAGGTAGAACCGTCGCCTTTGACTGTTTGACTCTTGTTTTGCATCTCAGAGCAACAACAAGCGAATTTTGCACACAATTTGCATTTCAATAGCAGAGGCTTCTCAAAGTATACTCACAGCAATATTTGTTTTCAATGTAGAAAAAAAAAAGAAACGGGTTGAGCGGCTCTTTGAGCTGAAGGTCAAAAGCTAATGTGACTTCACAGTACGACAAAGGTTAACAGATCCATTTTATGAAAAGAAAATTTAATAAAACGACATTTTTGAATTTTTTGAAAACATGTTATAAAATTTTTCTAACATTTTTCGAAAAATCTGTTTTAAATTTCATCAATACTCAGAGGTTCTTAAATAGTTTTTGAGTGAAGAAAAATTCTAAAAAATGTTAAAAATGTCTATACAAAATATTATTTTTCTCTTAAGTTCTTCATTTAAAAAAATTAGTCTGTATAAAACCGTTAAATAATGTACTAAAAAGCATACAATAATAATTTTTGCTGTCATTTGCACCGGAAAACCTTTTAAAATACATAAAAGCCCATTGAAATTTATGTGTGCACTAATTTGCTGCAGATGTCACACTTTCGAAAGCGGAACCAGAATCAGAAATTGAAAAATCATAAATTTTTACACAATTGCCACAATAAACATAAAATTTTATGCTGCTCATAAGGCTATCAAAAGTTCACAGTCATTGCGGGGTTGTAAAAACAGGACACGTGAGTTTGACAAGCAGAAAACTTAAAATTACATAAACACTCTACAGCGCGCATAAAGCTATTTTAAGTGACAAATGGACGAGTGAATGAGAAAAATATGTTTATTCATTTATGGCAACTTTTTTTGAAGAAAAAATCTTTTTGTATTAAAATTTTTTTAAATTTCTTGTTTTTATTTAAAATGAAATTCTTGGTATTCATTTTCTAAAAGTAGTAATTTTTTTTTGAAAATGAATTTCTTCAATAAATCTTCTAATCTAAAGTTATAAAGAAAATTAAAATTTAAAAAATTGAAAATTTGAAAAAAAATTTTATTTCAAAATTCAAAAAAAAAATTTTATTTCAAAATTTTAAAAAAAAAATTTATTTCAAAATTTAAACAAAAAAATTTTATTTCAAAATTTTTAAAAAAAGTTTTGAATTTCAAAATTTTTTTAAAAAAGTTTTCGGTATCAAAATTTTGTGAAAATGCTTTAAATTTTTTTTGAAAAATATGCTTCAGTTTCAAATCAAAAGTGTAATTAGAAGACATTTAGTTTTGCAATATGTTTACATTTTCTGTAATTATTGAAAAATATAGAATTGCAAATTTTAAAAATTTCAAAATTTGAATATTGAAAATTTGAGAAGTTTAATAAATTTCAAAAGATGATAAATTGAAAATTTTAAAATTTTAAAATTTAAAAATTTTAATATATAAAAAATTAAAAATTTATAAACATTTATTTTATTTTTCAATATCATCTTCTTTATCGCGTTTATAAAAAAATATTCACGCATTTTTTTTAAAATAAGTAGTCAATAAAAAAGTTTTAATGCAAAAATCTTCTTTTTAAATATTTAGATTGGATAATGTTTTTAAAAATTTTTTACGCTTTTATTTCAAATGTAGGATTTTTATTTGCTAATGACTTCTTTTCTGTTTTATTTTCATTCAAGAAAACAAAATATTTCGAAATATTTAAGGAAAAAAGTTAAACAATATTTTTGAAAACAATTTAATAAATTAGAAAAAAATTTAATAAAGTAAAAAAAGTTTATTAAATTTAATTTCGTGTAATTATATAAATAGAAAATATATTTGTGTACTTATTTATTTATTTTTTTTTTTTACTTTTATAATTTAGTTATTTTGTTAATTTTTTTCACATGTCCTTGCCATCCTTTCTTTAAAGATCATTAATTTCACACGCGTATATTTTTGTACTTTGTTATATTTAAAAAAAAAAAAAAAAAAACAAGCATTATTGGCAGCTTGGTCCACCTTATCCGCCCACGTGTGACTTTTATTATTTGTATGAGCAAGAAATTTACGGCCACAAAAATCAATAAATCCCAACTAAATTGCGGCGCCGAACGACCACGACGACAAAGCGCTGTAAGGTAGCCAACAAGGTGCGCGCGGGATTGCGGGTTGCCGCAGTTTTGTTATAAATGAAGTTGGCAACAATGGCGTACAATAACGGTACGGTTGAGGTCAGTGGTGGCGGCGGAGCGAGACATAGCGCACACATGCCCCTTTGTTATAGCTTTTTGGGTTGAGTACTCGCATATACTGGTATGTGTATATGTATATGTGTTTGGATGTGTGTTATTGTGCAAACCATCGTAGGCTGGCCCTGAGCGCAGACAATAAAATGGCAAATAAAAATAAATACAAATTTCCTTGAATAACAACTATATAGCTGTTGATAGCAGGGGTGGCTGTGAGTGATAAAAATTTATGCATGTAAATGTATGTGCCATACATACATATGTATGAGTATATATTTGTGTATGTGTGTATGAGAAACGTAGTGGAAAAGCGATGGGGACTTGCTGTAGCGCAGTTTGGGTATTAAAAAAAATATAGTTTTAGGCAGTTTTAGATAAAAGTTATTTATCTACTCTACACTGCTCTAGAGCTTTTATATATGAATTTAGGGAATTTTGTGAAATTTTTGGTACAATTTCATATATATTTATTTTAATTTTTCAGACGCGTGATTATTGTGGAACCCTGCATGAAATCGACATTTATATATGAAGTAAGCATGTGTAATTAAAATTGAGGCATAGTTTTAGGCGGGCAACATTGTCATTGCTATGTGCCTACCATTATTTTGTGGAAATGATTGCTTAGAGATTTCAGCAATCCTGTTTCTAAAAAATAAAATATGTATAATAAAAGCTTTTACCTACTATTTAGGTAGATTTCGTACACATTTCATTCATATACCACATGTGTCTGTAGTTCTTAGCATGTTAGTGAAAAAATTTAATATAAATTATTGACTCTAAATAACATATTTTAACACAGCTTTCCATAATATTATATTATATGCCATAACAAAACGATTCGTTGAGAATTGTGTATGGCAACCCTCTCCCAAAATATGCCTATCATTTTTTCTGCCCGTAAATATATATATTTTATATTATTTTTATTAATTTTGAAGTCTGAAATTATAAACACAAACTATGATTAAACTAAATTATCTGATTTTTTAACTGTATATTTTTTATTTTTTCAATTAGTTTTAATTGATTGGCAACCCTTTTTTAAATAATTTAAAATATTTTGTAATTAATTTTTATTTATTTCATATCTTTTTATTGTGTCCTTCTTTTTCTTTTTTAGTGGTAATTTTGAAAGCGTGGTAGTCAAATAAACAGCGTCAGGGGTAAGTGAAAAAATATTTAAAAAAGTGTTTAACATTTCATGTTTTTAAATATATAATTAATTTGGCGAGATTATTTAATGTAAAACATAAATATATTAAATTATTTTTATTTCGAAAAAACTTCAAAACACCTACAAAATTTATTTATTTATTTTAAATTTTTTATAAAAATTTTGAAAAAATACATCTCAACTCCAAATTTATTTTTATTTTAAAAAATTTTTGAAAAGTTTTCAATTTCAAAATTTTACGAAAATGTTTTAAGGTTTTTAAAATATTTTGAAAAAAATGTCTCAGCTCCAAATTAACTCTTTTTTCCAAAAACTTTAATTTTTTTTTAATTTCCAATTTCAAAATTTTTTGAAACAAGTTTTCGACTTCAAAACCTTTTTAAAACGTTTAACATTTTTGAAAAATATGCTTCAGTTTTAAAATCAAAAATATGCTAAGACACATAGTTTTGAAACTTTTTGAATTTTCTGTATTTTTTTTTTGTTTTTCAGCTATTTTTTACACGAAATTTTGAAACTCGTGGTTTATTCTAATTTTTTCTAAAATCGCTTAAGAGTTTTCTAAGCAAATTTAAATGCATTTGTTGCACGTTAATAAAATATGTCTTAAGATTTTTAAAATATTTCTGAAATTTCAGAAATTGCATACAGCTATTTTCTGCTTGTTTTCCCCACCCCTCTTACTACAGGACACTTCCCACGCCATTGCTTGTGCCCCATCAATATCATAAGTGCAAGAATGTTAAGAAAATATTGTTGGAATTTAATCAAAACAACTGCAACAACACTAACCTGTGTGGGTGCTGCACGCTGCTGTTGTTTTTGTAGCTCACGCTCCGTCTCCTGCACATAATCGCCCTTATCGTGCTTTTGCTCAATTTGTTGCTGTTGTAGTTGGTACTTAAGCTGTTGCTGTTGCTGGTGTTGTTGTTGTTGATAGAGCAATTTTTCCTGCTGCTGCTGCTGTTGTTGTTGTTGTTGATAAAGCGATTTTTCCTGCTGCTGCTGCTGCTGTTTTTGCAATTGCTGATGCAGCTGTTGCTGATATTCATATTGCTGTTGCTGTTGTTGTTGCAATTGATATTGCAATTGCTGGTATTTATGTGATGTCGCCTGTGGCGTTGCCAGCACGTGTTGCTGCTGTTGTTGCGCTTCGGATTGGTGTTGCGGCCGTGGCTGTGGCTGTGGATGGCCAGCCACTTGGCAACAACACATTGTCATTGCCATAAATATTGTGAGAATGTTGCCAACCGCGATGGCGAATTTTGTTGCGGTCGCCATTTTTCTTGCAATTCTTGGCATTTCGCTCCCTCCTCTTCCTTCTCCTTTGCAAACAATGACGCACTGCGTGCTCTCCGCCTTCTACGTTTGTGCTGCTGCTGCGCTGTGTGTTGTTGCGATTACTTTGTTGTTGTTATTTATTTATCTTTTATTTTTGCTTTCTTCTCGCTTGTTTTTGTTGTTGTGCACTTTGCGTGTTCGTTCGTTGTTCGTTGTTATTGTTATTTTTGTGTCAATATTTTACATTCATCTATTTTATTGCACTTTCCAATTGCTCGTTTCACTCGATATCGTTGCTGTTGTTTTTGTAATTTTATTGCGAGTTAAAGCATTTTGGCGATTTTTCTTTGAAATTGCTTTCACTTGTTCGATTTGCAGTAACGCCTTTCCACTGAAAAATACAACACATGGTGGCGTTTTAGAAAAATGTTTGCTTTAATTAAATATTTGTGTGTGTGTATATGTAAAATTTATGTATCTAATTGCAAATAGACAACCAAAAAATATCAAACTAATAATCTGAAAATCTGAATAAGATTTGTTTTTAATTTAAATCTTTATTTCCTTTCTGAAATATGTATAAAAAAATTTTATTGAAATAATTTCAAAATTTTAATTAAAATTTTCTTTTTGAGAATCTATATATTTTTTAATTTTATATGTATAGTAGGGTGGACCGAAAAAAAGAGGCACCGCGCCGCCTCTAGAAGTTAAAATTTTTTTTTTTGTCCAATAAGTTTCCTTTTTATAATCTACAGATTTTACCCTCGGGCAAAGCAAAAAAATTTTATACATATAATATGCATATATAGTATGTATATATATTAGGAATACTTGTTTTTGCTTAGTGCTCTAAAATGTATGTAGGTCCTTAGACACCTCTAAGAAAGTCTCTCCAAATATGAGCTCTTAATTGTAACGAGCAGATCCTCCGCCTGACAGTTTTCTATTTATATTATTATCAGATAGAAAAATTCAAACCTCGCTTCCAACTCCTTGAAAAAATATCTCGTTTCATAGTTTTTGTATTAAATTGTATACTCTACCAAAAGGTCTCACATGATTTTTTCGTAAGCCTAACCGTTAAAAGTATATTAACGGTCGAAGTTTGATTATTTTAAGACAAATTTTTTTCTCTTACGAATTTTACAACTCATTAAGAATAAATCCATATAAACCGAATTCATAGTTTTGTAGAAAATTTATTGCCTTATAAAAATGGTTTCTTATTATAAGGCGCATGAGCTTCCCGTTAAAATTAAGAGCTCATACTTGTAGCGACTTTCTTACTGGTGTCTAAGAACCTATTTTTCAGAGTACAAAGCGAACAAAAATGTTTTTTACACCCACCCTAATATACATACATACATATGTAGGTATGTTCATATAACTTGAGTGTAGCGCTAGAAAGTTAGACACTTTTATATGGTTTTTAATATTTATTTGTTATTTGTAATTAGTTGAGAAGTTTCCTCCCAAATGTTATGTTTACTTATTAATTTAGTAAAATTTTTATTTTTTTTAAGTAAATATTATTTTGTTTAATTTTTTTTTGTTTAAGTAAATATTTTCCTTAGGCTTGAAATATATGTACATGTGTATACATTTTTAATTTAATTTTCTAATTTCACTATATGTTTAAATTAAAACTTTGTTATTGAAATTAAAAACATTTTTCTTTGGATTGAAATATTTATTTGTTATACATTTTTAGGTTTTTTTCCTTTTTTTAATATTTTTCAAATAAATTTTTTTCTTTTTTGTCAATTTTCTACAATCACTAAAATTTTGCACAAATATTTCAATTTTGCTTAAACATGTATAGGTTTTCTTAATTTTTTAAATATTTTTTAATTACATTTTTTTCTTTCTTTAATTACTAAATTTTTTTCTATAACTAAAATTTTGCTCAAATATTGTTTTTATTGCTTAAACATGTAAAAAAGTTTCTTTATTTTTTTTAAATATTTGTTAATTGTTCTTTTTTTGTCAATTATACAATTGCCAAAATTACTTCAATGACTAAAATTTTTTACAAATATTTTTTTAATATTTTTAAATTAAATTGTGTATGTTCTTTCGATTTTTTACAAATACTAAAATTTTTCCAATGACTAAAATTTTTCCCAAATATTTTATTGGTACCTTTTCTAACTAAATTTAGTTTATTTTCTTATTATTTTGAATTTTTTTTATTAATAATTATTATACGTAAAATTTTTTTTTATTAATAAATTTTTTATTTATTTACGTTTTTAATTTTTACTTTGTAAAATAGTTAGTTCTTTTTAAGTTTTTCAAATGATTTAGTGTTTTTTTAAATTATTTTTTTTTTTTGTTAATTATTTTCAAAAAAATAAAAAATATTTTTAAAAATTTATATGTGTTGAAAGTTTTTAAATATGTAATTATTGTTTTTTAATTTTTGTTTCTGTAAAATATCAGTGTGGTTTTGTTCTGCTGTTTTCTAATAACTTACAAAAGCTTTAAAAAATTTTATATTTATTGAAAAAATTATAAATAATTCTTCATATTCAAATAATGAAATTCTTTTAGTTTCTAAAATATCATATTTTTGTTTTCATAGATTCTGAAATTTTCTGATTTTTTTAAAATATTTTTTATTTTTCATTTGAAAATTTTTCGTATTTTTGACTCAAATGCATGCATATGTATGTTTCTCACATCCACCGCCACTGCTCAGCCCTTAAACTTTCACCACTACATACAATCCACGGCGAAGCATGCGAAAATCGCTAATTAACGATAAAAAATTGAAAGTTGGCGAAATGGCCTTGAACAGTCAAATGATTTCACATAACAAGTAGCAATCAAAGTAATCTGCAGCTCAAAACGTAATCCGCAGCGATTAATGCATTAATTGGCATTGGAAATTGAAAAATAAGTATAAATGGTGAAGCCAACAGCGCGCAATAAAAACAACAGCCAACAACAATTTAAATTAAAAACGCCATCAAAATGCAAAAAAAAAGCGCCAGAAATGTAATCAGAGTCATGAAAAATTCAACTCGAAACCTGGCAGACAAAGGCACGAAGCCAGAACGCGCCGCAGCAGAAAAAATTAAAATTGCACACACACATGCACATACGCAAGTAAAGTAAAAATGCCGAGGCAAACATGCAATGGAAATTGTTAAAGCGTTAAAAGTTGAATTTTTCTTCTTTATTTACATACAAACAACAACAAGCCAAACCAAAATGCAAGAGCAATAAAACAACAACATCTATGGCAACTGCAACCAAAAAACAAAACGAAATGAAAATGCTTTATGGCCAGCAATATATATGTATGTGTGGAAAAACAACAAAAGCGTCAAACAGAAAAGTTTAAAAAAGTCAAATTGAAATATTCGAAAAAAAACGTATTAAGGAAACGCGAAAAAAGTGTGGCTAAAAAATTTAATCTCAATTTTTATGCATGAAAATTTATGCGCAATTTTGCTACATCTGAAAATTAAAAAAAAAATTAAATTAAAAAAATTTAAAACGCATTATGCAAATTTAAACGCCTGTTGTTATTTAAATAACAACTAAAGCTTGTATTAAATAAATACAAATATGAAGTGTGATTTTAAAATAAACGCAAATAAATCTTAAATTGCGAAAACATTGAAATAGTAAATAAAAAAAAAACTATTACAAAGTGTAAATATGCTAAAAATTAAAAAAAAAATTGAAATTTGTGTTGCAACAAAGTAGTGCATTTTAACTATGCATTAATTTGTCATATAATTTGTTATTGTTAATTTGTTTTATGCTTATTTTTGCCAATAAATTTGAATTTTTGAAAAAATTTTCTCACGCCATTCAATGCCAAAAATTATATAAATATGCTAATTGATTTTTTTATCATAATAACACGCTGAAAAAATATTTGTATTCACTAATATCGATGCTTAAATATACAAAATATTTATTATTCAAATATTTTTTGATAAATTTTTTTTTTATAGATATTATAAATTTTTTTTAATATTGGATATTATATTATATATATACAAGTATATGGCTAGGTGTGTCGAAAGACAGCCACTCTACCTATCTACCTATATATAATATACAGGGTCTAACAACAAGAGCGACGTGGTGTTAAAATGAAATAAAACACTCAAATTTGGTCAAAATGGATTGTTTTTTTTTGTGCTATGCAGATAATTTTTTGCCATTAATGATTTCAACAAAATGTCAGCCAAATGGCCACCACGGCTCCACGGCATATCTCCACCCGTTTACGCCAATTTTCGATGACCCGGTGCAGCATTTCGGCTATAATGCGCTGAATGTTGTTTTCAAGCTCCTTCAACGTTGCTTGTTGACACTGACAAAATTTGACACAAATCTGCAAACAAACATGGCCGCCACGACTTGTCAAACTCACGTCATCCCTATTGGTAGACGATGTATATACATATGTGATTTAACGATTTATATTTATATATATATCAAAAATACATTTTGGACAAAATTTTAACATTTAAAAACTTATAATTTTCAAATTTTCTCTACTTTCATTCTAGAGAAAAAAAAATTGTTTATAATCGTTCCAGAATTAAAAAAGTATAATATAAAAAAATAAATTCCGAAAATTAATAATTTCATTTACTTCTTTTGATACAATTTTGCAATAAATTTTCTGTACTTTTTATTTAATAGAAAAAAATTCAGTTCCAGAACTCAAAATATTACAGATATAAAAAAATTCTTTTTCGAAAAATAATATATCACATATTTTTTTAAGTTTAAAACATAAGTGCTATAAAAAATATGTGACCGAAAACTAATATTTTAAAATAATTATAAAATTTTGAATTAAATTTTTTTATTTAAAATTTTTTTACCCATGACAAAATTTTACAAATTTTAAAAAGTTTTGTGTTCAAACTTTTTTATAAACCTACATACTTTTTGCTATATATTTTTAAACCCTGAACAGGTTATATTATATTAAGTTTGCCACGACGTTTGCTAAGCCAGAAGCAAACGTCGGAGACCCTATTAAGTCGATTTAGCCATTTCGTATGAATATATGCAAGCTAGTCACTTAGTTTTTAAGGCATCGATCTAAAATTTTGCAGACGTGCTTCTCTCCTCAAGAAGCTGCTCATTTGCCGGAATCGTAGATATCGGTCCGCTATAGGACATAGTTGCCATAAGAACTGATCAGTCGAAATCAAGTTCTTGTATGGAAAACTTTTTTATTTGAAGAGATATATTCATGCAATTTGGCAAGAATTATTGCCCAAATCAACGGTGTAACCTCGAAAGAAATTATTCAGATTGGACTACTATAGCATACAACTGTCATACAAACTGAACGATCAAGATCAAGTTCTTGTATGGAGAACTTTTTTATTTGACGAGATATGTTCA